ATGGTTTTTGACAAGTTTTCACAAAACAAAATAGGAAATAGTAGAGTGCATTTCATTGCATGCACAAAGTAAGAGTAAATATTGTTTTGTGAAACTTTAGTCACTTTTCATATACAGTGAAACACCATAAAATATTCAGTAATCCCTTACATTGAATACAATCTTTTATGGTAGACAGTTTATACTATGCCTATTTTTTAACACTGTATTGGATTCCTATCTGAGTTGGAGCATATAGGTAGGTAAGCATAGCTTTCAAAAAGAAATAGATACATGCTATTTTCCTATAAGCTTTGACTATCACAGAATGATTTTATTTCTTTAACAATGAAAATAGAATTTAACCAAGTCTAAAGTAATATTTTCCCACTGTACCTCTTAATCCATTGTCTTCTGGAAAACTCTAAGATCTTACTTTCTGATTTTTCCATCACCCCCCCTCCCCCGCCAGTACATATAGAGTTCTTTCCTCCTCCTCCCTTATTAATTACAATGTTTTGCCAAAAGTATCTAGGAGTGAATTTCTTTTCTTTCAATCTGCATACTCCTGTTTTTATTTCAAACTACATTTGTAATTATTGTAAGTAGTCCAGTCCTACACTGAACGTAGTCCCATTAAGTCTTCGAATCTTTCCTTTTCCTCCTCAAAATTCACAATTGTAAAATAGCATTAAAAGGTGGAGTTAAATTGCCTTCTGCCTAATATACCCGGCAGCTTCTAGGCAAAAGTGTACCTTGACTCACAGAAGGAAAGATTCAGTGTTGTTCCCAAAGGAGTCTTGTTTACAAGCTGAACTACACACGGTGAGAAGTCCGCTGCGGAGATGGCCCGTGTCCTGGCTCTGAATAAGAGCTCACACTAGAATCTGCAGAAACTCTGCTTTGTTCCTCCGTCCTTGGCTGGGTCTTGCCGGGCTTTCCCTCGTCTGACCTTTTCTCATGACCTTCTCCCCACTTGACTGTGCACTGGCCATTTCTAGCCCCTTAGCCAGCCTCGATGGGCTGCAGGCTAGGAGCTTCGCACAGGCCTGGATGCTGCTTCTCCTAGGTCCTTTGCCGCCTCGCCACCTGTCATTCACGCTTCACTTAAATGTCACTTCCTCAGACCACTTCTAGCCACACTCCTTTATATCATGCTACTGGGTTTTCTTTGTTAATTCTCACCAGAGGATACTTTTTCATTGGTTTTTAGGGAGAGTGAGAGAGAGAGGGAAAGACAGAGACAAACAGATGTGAGGGAAACACATTGACTGGCTGCCTCTGCACGTGCCCTGACCAGGGACCGGGCTGGGGAGGAGCCTGCAACCAAGGTACATGCCCTTGATCAGAATCGGACATGGGACCCTTTGGTCTGCAGGCCGACGCTCTATCTACTGAGCCAAACCAGCTAGTGTGCTACTGGGTTTTCTTGGTAGAATTTACTGTTTCTGACTGTTTACTCTCTATCGCTCCTTCAATAAGGAAAGGACCTTAGCAATTCTGCTGAGGAGACTGTAAAGTTGAGGGCACTTTCTGAGTGATAGACTGTTCCCCTAATGAGTGAGAGGTTCTGTAATTAAAGTTATTTGGGCTGCACATTGGAAATCATGTGCACACATATTTTGTAGCTTCACAGTCTTAATTCCAAGATGGAACCATCAGCGTCTATGTATTATTGAAGAGGTTACATTTCCTTTTGCAATTATTTTTTTCTTATAGAAACCACCACTAAGTTGTATTTAATATTTTGTCTTTCATATAGTATCCATACCAGAACCACTTATTTGAATGGGACCTGTGTATATTTTGTAAAATTATATTTTAAGCTCTTAGCTTTGGTTCTAAAAATTCAACAAGCATTATCCCATATCTGTTATACCATGCTGTATATGAGAAATACAAAAGGACATACAAATTTATTTTTTCTTGGCCAAATATATATATACACACACACTATTTCCCTAAACATGTCTTGTTTCCAAGAACTTTAAGGGGAAAATTATGATAGTTCAAAATTATGATAGTCAGGTTCTTTCAGGTGCTCAAAAGCATCTAATCATTCTTCTTTTAGGCAAGAAACTCATACTCTCATCATTTTTGGAATCAATGAATGTAAGGGACCATCTCCAGAAATCAAAGACACATCTACTGAAACACGCATAGGGTTTCCGTGGGCTCATGGACTCCTGCAAGCTTACTTACTAGCTCACATTCACAGCTCTGGTTTTAGAGAATTTTTGTTATCCTATTTTACCCTCAAGTGTTTTCATTGGCCTTGTTTCATTTGTAAACAATTTGTAAGTCTTTAAGAAAGAACCAAAGAGCCTGTCTTGAATTCAGGTAAGCAATTTCTTTTTTTTTTTTAAATATATTTTATTGATTTTTTACAGAGAGGAAAGGAGAGAGATAGAGAGTCAGAAACATCGATGAGAGAGAAACATCGATCAGCTGCCTCCTGCACATCCCCCACTGGGGATGTGCCCGCAACCCAGGTACATGCCCTTGACCGGAATCGAACCTGGGACCTTTCAGTCCGCAGGCCGACGCTCTATCCACTGAGCCAAACCGGTTTCGGCTCAGGTAAGCAATTTCAACTTTTTATGATTTCATCTTTTTGAAAGACATTAATTAACCTTGGAAATCAAGGTTGAAAAAATCAGGTCACTTCATTTTCAATCTACATTTGACTCCATAGTCCTAGTTACAAAGTCATAGTCCCGGAGGGATGCAATATAAGGTGGAAATGACGGGAGGGTCTCCTTCATTGGTTATAGCTTCTAGGCCATGCTTTTTTCTCAAAGAGGCTGGTGAGTCGGAGTTTTGGTAGCTTACTGACAGAGAGGTCTTATTTTGGACACTGACACAATGTGCCGACTGAGATAAAAGTAACTTACATATGGGTTTTCCCAGACTGATTAAATGTGAATCGTAAACTAATTTATTCTTGACTATATGTGATCTTTAAAGCCCAGGTAGACCTAATGAATAATATTGATCTTCCCACTATTGTATGCATTTTAAGTATTCAACGTTGAAGGAAAATAAATCTCTAAGTTAATAAAATAGTGCAATCAAATCCTTTATTTATTTTTTCATTAGACTGAAATAATAAACCAAATGAACAAGGAAAATGTCAATCAAAGGTTTAGCATGAAGCATTAATTCTCAGTAGATAATGTCAAGAATATTATGAAAATATGCACATTGCCTGTAATTGAATTGCAGAAAATCAATGCATTTACCTTCGAAAAGCAGAGGTATTCATTGCCTTCAAGCTTCAGTTTAGGACCTTGGGCTAGGAGCTGAGGGTCTTCTGGTTTTGTTATGAAAAAAAAAAGGAAGGATCGCTCTGGAAAGGAAACTCAGGTCATTGCTATCTCAACCCGCATCTATCCATAGTGGATATGGCCCACACGAACAGGTCTGCCCATCATTCTCTGCCAGAGCAGAAAACAGGCTCTAAATAAAATAGTCTAACTGGTCATAAACCACAAATAAGAATGGAACATTTAAAATAATAATCCAGTTAAGCAGCAAAAACTGAACACATGATCTTCTTCAATCGGAAATGTGTTGTCATCTTTTGCATATTCTATTGAGCCAACAACCACATTTTAACTTTCAATTAGGAGACATTAAGAGATAATTCGGAGCAAATAACAGAACAATGAACCTACAAAAATTCATCAAGGTCAAAGGAAGCACACCTTTAGCCACAGCAAGAAGTGTTGTTCCATGAAGTCAGGGAGTGATGGTGACCACTTCGTCTTCTCCACAGTCACCTCTGAGGCAAACTTTCTAGGAGCAACATTGCTTTTTGACAATAACAATGATGACTGTAATCGGGAGATCGCCATCAAAACCAGAGAGTGTACATTCCTTAGAGTCGAGACCCTCGAAACTCAACAAACACCATATGTGAAGAAACATAGCAAATCCCAACAAGCATACACACAACAGAAGTAATTCATTTATCAGAGACCAATACAAGCTTGAATATGCGTTTTCCAGAAGGAAGGAGAAGCCAGCAGGCCACCTGCAGCTGTCAAACCTGTGGCTGTGAAACAAGGCATTTCAAAATCCACACAATCCGCGAGTCATCAGTGAGAAACAAATGCTTTGTCAAAAAAAAAACCTTGGTTGATGACCCACCATGTGGATCTTTGTATATTTATATATATTATGATAAAAACCAGCTTGCATGAAGGTCATAGTCTATCTACTTTGAAGTTATAGCACACATACTAGAAGCAATTTACAGAATTTGTCCAGTTTGCATATACAGGAATTGCAAAATGAATTAAAATACATTGAGATATAGAACACCCAAAATGTATTTATAGAAAGCTCCCAGGATTGACAGGGATTGGCCGTAATCAGCGACTTGCCATCATTGAACAGGAACTATAATCAAGAAAAAGGAGAAAAATCCAAGGAAAAATGGAAAATTAAAAAAAATTCTTTCTTTTATTATTTCTTATTTAAAATAAGGTTCTCCTCGTTGTCTCGCAGTGGTGATCATGTTGTTCTTGCCCCCCCAAAACTGGGGTGTCGTTTGGTGATAGTTGGTATGTCCTGGAGTCTTTTGATCTCTGTTGGCTTCCTGCAATGATGGGTCTTTGAGTAGGAAGTGGTGGTCTCCATAGTAAATATTTACTATCCCGATGACGTTCAGGCCAACCCCTGAGCCCTCAGTGAGAGGATGCTTTCAGGATCCGGAAGAAAAGGGGAAAAAAGAGATGTTGCTATCGGAACATGTCCTATCACTTCACACTAATTCTCTTGAAATGAAAGATCATGGGTTTTGCCCAAGAAAACATTATGGACAAAGCGTGTGAGGGCCTCTTCAGTTATGCTTCCGGAAGCAGGCGCTCCTTGTCTGGGGGATTAGGCTACAGTGGGTGCGTGGTGGTGCTTGGTGTTTAGGGTCAACTTTGCTGTCCGCTCCGTAGGTTTTACAGGCGATTTGCTCTTTGCTTTAAGAAGAGAAAGTGATATTGGAAAAAAGTCAGCACTTTAGATTAAAGCAAAGCACCCTTCACAAAGCCACAAACAAGAAGCAGGACAGAAAGTCCATGGCTTGTAGCTATCCTGGCACCTGCGAAAGAAGTTATAAGATATTCGCTCATCTTGAAGATTTCCAACGCTCCTTATCAGGCTGTTTTAAACACATACACATATATAGTTAATTAGCTCGCCAGCTTGGCTCTGCTGCTCATGAGTGTCTTGGCATGCACTGCAAATGACAACACATACAGAGTATTTCAGTCCCAGGACACGGGTCGTGTGTCTGCTTTCAAACAACGCCATTCCACGGGGGGTGGGGGGAAGGGGGCCCCGAGAGGAAGGAATCCCCAGCGCTCCCCGCCAGTTATCATTCTGGGAGGCTCCTATAATGGGACCTGCAGACACCTGCAGACACGACCTGCTTTACTCCCCAGACCCCGAGCAGCGGCTCCCCGCGGGCAGGACCTGTGCCCTGGGGTGGGCACTTCCTTTTAGAGGAAGAGCTTCCTTAATTTTCACCCTTGAAATCTGAGGCAAAGAAATGACAGTTTTTGGAAGAGCTTTGAGACTGTGTAAAGGGAGAGAATGCAATTGTAGTTTTGCAATTTTTCTTCATATAATTTATCTAATAAGTTCCTAGTTACAAATGATGTATCAAATACCTTTATTAGTAAGAAAATTAGAACATGATCAGGCTCAAAGCGTTTTGTCTTTTCTTTCTCTCTTTGTCTGTCTTTTCTAGTTGAAGAAAGGTTTACAGGGTTTGAAGGGGGTGAAGGTAGACACTCAACCTTTTGAATAATTCAGCTAAACCAGTTTCGGTCCACATTGGCAATGACCACAACTGAGGCGAAAGCATGCCCTGTCAGAAAGTCACGGCAGCAGAAAAGCTGGGGACTCGGTTCTCAAATGACCGTCCAGTGGCCTGGCCTCGCGGCTGTCCTGCCAGGCACCCTCAGTGCGGTCAGGGATTGGCTGCCTTCCTTCAGTAGGTGAGCCACATGTCACACTACGTCCTCACAGAAACCCAACTACTGGAGACCCAGAGGGTAGTGATGGGTCTCGGGGGCCTGTTCCTTCTCTCAGGTTGGGCCTGAGGTTCAGAAATGCGGAAGGGACAGTAGAGTAGACGTGCAGCTCTAAGAACAAGGAGTGTGGCAGGGAAATTTGCACAATTTATGCAGAGCCCCTAGCACTGGGCTTCCCAGAGTTAACCGCGTGCTCTTGTTCCCTTTGAGGAGAGATTCTTGGACAGGGATTCATTTTTTTTGGAAAAAGAAGACAAAAGGAATGATTGATTCCTTGGCTCCTTAAGTAGCCAATGGTATTTGACACAATGTCTGATATTGAATAAAGGGCTGAAAGTGCTAAGAGCAAGAAAACGACATAAAATGGTTCATTCAGGAAAGCCATTCTGTGAAATCATGGTTTCTTTCTTAGCCTGGGCCTTGAAAGCTGGCCGAAAGGCACGGGCGCTGCGTGTTAATCTCCCCTCTCTACGGCAATGAGCCCATCACAGGGTCCACCTGACCAGCGTTCCTATCAGAAATACAGGGGACAGCTACTTCTTTTTGACCCAATGTTTCCCACCATCCGATGTCCAGCATGTGCAAGTTAAAACAGAATTTACATGAGCAGCATCATTACAAATAAATCCCATTATACACGGAGAAGGGTATTTTAAGGCAACTCGAACATTGAACCGCCATCTCATAGCCGATAGATATATCATTGTAATATAGTACCCGCCCCCCCCCACATTATTTATCCACTCTACGCATGCATTTCCTAGCGTATTTTTAAAAAATATATTTTATTGATTTTTTACAGAGAGGAAGAGAGAGGGATAGAGTTAGAAACATCGATCAGCTGCTTCCTGCACACCTCCTACTGGGGATGTGCCCGCAACCAAGGTACATGCCCTTGACTGGAATCGAACCTGGGACCTTTCAGTCTGAAGGCCGATGCTCTATCCACTGAGCCAAACCAGTTAGGGCTCCTAGTGTATTTTTAATTAAATGACATTTATTTCCGTCAGGCCAATGACAAAGTTTTCTTCCCTGCACAGTAAATTATAAAGCAAATCACTGATTGTCTCTTCTTTCTACATTTTATTTATGCCTTGAATGAAGAGATACGTTCTTTATCTTGGTAATCTCAAAGACTTAGGCAGTGGGATTTAAAATGCTGTAATTTGTCCTGTGTGTGTGTAACAGATACTCGTCATAGTCCATTTCATTCGGAGGTACATTGTCCTGAATATAACAGTAGTTACTATTCTAAGTACAAACCTGTTTATCAAACACGCTATGGTCTATTCTATAGACAAATATATATTTTGGTAAAAAGCAAACTTTGGCCACTCATCCTGCTCTCTCACTGTCACAGGCAGGGACATTTTTCTTTCAGGAACAGATGAGAGCCGAGGTTGCAGTCAGGAGCCTTCAGTTCTAACGGTCTCAGGGGCCACTCACTTCTAAGATCCCAAATAAGGCACTAATTTCTTCCATGTTTTCTAAAATGAGTGCAATTATTCATGGTTTTCAATTTTAGTATGCCAGACATTGTGCTCAAGTAGGATCACCCTTCCTCCCCACCCCATCTCCCTCTCCCTCTCTCTCTCTCTCTCTCTCTCTCTCTCTCTCTCCCTCTCCCTCATTCTTTCCTTCTTTCTTTGCTCTGTGCCCAGGCCAAGCAGAATAACCTGTTATCCCCTTAATCCGGCCATGCATTTAAGCGCCTCTTGCCCCCACATAACCTGCTGTCCACTGGGTCTCTTCGCACCACCTCCTTGCAGACTCTCTTGCCTCTGACCTTGAGCAGTATTTTGGTTTTGCCTTTCCTATGCCCCTCGCACAGCTTACATTGACCTGTAACTCATTATATTCGTATCTTATCTCCCTGATGACCATACAAGCTCATGAAAGGCAAGGGGTGACATTTTAACAATGATTCGTCATTATTCACCATGTCTAAAACAATGTCTAAACGTTTGCCCCCAACACAAACGCTCTGTGAGGAAGAAAGGAAGGTGCTATCATCTATGTCACATGAAGAGCATGTGCAGAGCGCATGCCTGGAGGAGGGGCCGCCTATAGAGCCTAGAGGTTTTTCTGTAGGTTCTACTTCACGGCCTCCTTCGACTTCTCTGTAATACAGATGCCTTCACTTGTCTTTATGCTTAAATGTTCTCCCAGGGCTCTCGCAGGCGCCATTCTCCACGCCCTTGTAAGACAGGGAGGTACTTTCTCCATGTTGCAAGGGGGAAAGTCTAGGGCAGGGGTGGGCAAACTTTTTGACTCAAGGGCCACAATGGGTTCTTAAACTGGACCGGAGGGCCGGAACAAAAGCATGGATGGAGTGTTTGTGTGAACTAATATAAATTCAAAGTAAACAACATTACATAAAAGGGTACGGTCTTTTTTCTTTAGTTTTATTCATTTCAAACGGGCTGGATCCGGCCCGCGGGCCGTAGTTTGCCCACGGCTGGTCTAGGGAGTCTTCTTATAAGTCCCAGGAGCCTGGGCACTTGGCTTCCAGTTTCAGCCCTTTCTATGCCACATACAACAGCCAGTCTCATCGCCTCCCCCGAGATGGGGACGCCTTCCCCAGAGAGCGTCTGGGACCAAGGAGAGTTTGGCCAGGAGAAATATGGGGGAAAAAGTCTCAAATATTTTATGCTCATGATAATGATGATTTCAGAGGACAACAGGAAGTCCCATCTATTTCTTTAAGACACAATGCCAACTCGGGTAGAACCCGCATGCAGTTACACCACCACGTCATGATTGTCATTGTCACCGATGGCTAAGTCCCCCATGTCCCCGCCTCACTGAACTCAGCACAGCGTCCCACTGAAAGTCTGCCTCGCCTCCCACCTGTCCGCCAGGGGGAGAACTTAGCTCCCTTTGGAGCCTCTCTTCGGTGCCTCCCTTCACACTGCGCCATCGGGACTATGTCTTCTTCCCTGGATCTAGGCCCACAAGGCCCACTGAGTAAGGCTGCATCCCTCCCCCTGCTCGTGTCGGTCTCCTAACTGACGGGACGGGCTGGGGCGGCTCCCACGTGACAGTGAAGACGCAGTAGGCGCTTTGCAGACATTGCACTAGTGCATCTCCACCGTCCTGCCCTCCTGCGGATCAGGAACACGGAACCCAGGACGGGGACAGCGCCCCCCAGGGCCCCATGGGTGCAGGTGGAAAGCCAAGGCACAGAAGGGAGGACACAGCAAGGCAGTCAGAGCGCCCAGCAGACAGATGGGCTCCTGGCAGGGAACCCCCGGGGCAGGCGTCCTGGCCCCATGGTCCCCACATCTGCTCCATCAGCATGGGAAGCTATTACTTATTTATTTTTGATGCTATTATTTAAATGGACAGGAATCTTTTCAGAGAAAATGCACAACATGCTTTAGAGAAGAAGAACTTAACTATATATATAAAAAACTCGAATATTCAAATAGACCAAACAGTGGAACAACCCAACAACTGAACAACCAGTTGCTATGATGTGCGCTGACCACACGTCTTCTGTCCAAGCTTTTGACCCAAATCGGATAGACTGGGACCAAAGGCTCCACTGATGGTTAAAGTGCCACCATTAGCTAGTGACGGGAGAGACAACCAGAGTGCTGTCTACCAGGAAAGATCATCAGAACAGGATCTGGGTATTTCATTCAAAGGACCACGTGAGCACTGAGCAAGGTCCAGACAGTGTGTCCCACCTAACGTCCACGCTTTCAACTACCCACTTTCTCTGGGGAGTGAGTCGCTGCTGGATTCCTTTCCTGTCTGAGTTCAACTTCTAGCTGGTTCAGACAAGACAGGGGACCGTCAGGGCTCAGGGTATCTGTCCGCAGATTTGGGTACAATTCTCTCTACGTTTTTCTCTACTTTTTTCTTTTTCGGTTTGAGTGTCTAGTGCAGTGGTCGGCAAACTCATTAGTCAACAGAGCCAAATATCAATAGTACAACGATTGAAATTTCTTTTGAGAGCCAAATTTTTTAAATTTAAACTATATAGGTAGGTACATTGTTATTAACGTAATTAGGGTACTCCTAAGCTGGCCTTTGCTAAAATGTTTCATTTTATAAT